AATTTTATAGTGCTTTTTAAATGATTTTCAAATGGTCCAGCTGCTTTGTGCCACAATAGCACAAGGCAGAGATATTTACACCAGCAATAACAAGCATGCATCAGCCTGCCCGAGCTGCTCTCCGCAGGCAGCCTGCGGGAGGTGAAACACACGTGGAAAGATGATACTTGCCAATGTGGATTGATCATAATCACACCATGATCAGAGCGATCCTGGGAAGCCGCTTTTTCCACCCAACAACTTGATTGTTTTCTCATCTGTGTGTTGCCTGCGAAGCACAGGATCTACGCGGCTTCTATTCTGACACTTGAGAGTCTGCCAGCAATGTGTGCCCCTTGGGCCATACTGTCCTTGGCAGGCGTCTCTTTGGAAATAGGGCAAATTCACCCCTGGGTTACACTGCTGGTTTGGCATGGGAGTTTCCACAAGGACTGGTGTGGTCCCAGCTTTGGTGTTCTGCATGCAGCACTGCATTATCTCCTCCAAAAAGCATGCATGTGGCAAGTGAATTCTGCTGAGATGCTGAATTGCCACCAGCAACTCTCCCCAGGTATTTTACCTCTGCATGTTTAAGACTTCAGTCTAAAACTACAGTTTATTTTGCAAACAAATACTCTAAGATAAGAACTACCCTGGGGTGGTCTAGCTTAGCTTGCCAATTTGGGTAGTCATTTCAACAGTTCAAAAAAATGTTTCAATTTTTTTCTTTAGAGTCCCCTCTCCTTGGCGAGACATTGACAAAAGACAGGGTTCTGGGAGAAACCTGCTTTCTGAACCAGCAGAGTAGGCTTTAAAGAGCCGTTCCTTTATGAAATATTCCATTAAAATTAAATAAACTGTCTCTTTCCATGTTCACTAGTGCTAGAGGCACAGCAGTATTCAAGTAATAATAATTTTGTTGGGAACAGGAAATTTTGAGCATGAGAGAAATGTCTAATTTATAGATGAAAGTTTATTACATTTTCAGTAATGCTCAGGTCCATAAAGCTGAGACAGAGCTGGGCAGAGGACATGACAGAAAGTAGTTACCGCTGGAAAGTCCTCAGCCATTGAGCATCTATTGTCACCAGGGTAAGAAAACTCTCTCATCTGGGTGACTTCTTGTACAGGTTGGGAAATATTTTCCCCTTTTCATTTGCTGATCCAAATCAGCAAAACAAGTTAACATCTTTTTGTGTTCTTAAGAACTTTAGTTTTAAACAGGGGCCTATTTTCTCTTGGAGTTGAGTTTTAAGAGTTTTAATGAAAAGAATGGACAACAAATTAGGAATGTATCCCAGAGGAGTACCTAGCATGTTTGCTGCCTTCATTTAGCCAACTGACTGAGGAATGACAGGAGCATGCAAAATTCAGAAACATTCTATGCCCTAAACAGAGAGGAAAAATAGATTTGATGCCAAAGCTTTAGGTCATGTTCATCTTTGTCTCATATTCAGATAGTTTTTCTGACATTTCTCCTTGTCACTTTGTGCTCTTTTAATTTCATGAGAGTTTAGAGTTTACATAGGTGTCTACTGTATCTTGGTTCAGTATGTAAATCCTGCAGTATGATGAAATTGCTCATGACTGGGTAACTCTTTGGATAACAATGCCTAGAGGAAAGTAGCAGAATATCATAAGGTAAGGCAGCATAAAGGAAGCAGATCTGCTTTTTCTAAGAATAAGGCAAATAAAGATTTTTCCTTTCAAAACAGAAAGGAATACACATAGTGCTGTTCCAGGCTGCAAGGAGTAGTGCCATAGTCACAGATTGCATAAGTTTGTACTTCTGCCTCACTCGCATCTCATCTCATCTCTGAGAGATCCAATTTACAGCAGCTGAGATAAAGTAGCCTCCAGGGTATTACCTATAGCCCTTTCATAAATCAAGAACCACTTTTTGTTACTAGAGATCTGAGTCCAGAAACAGAGGAAAACACATGGCATTAGGCTTTGTAAATGGCCAACTGGCATGTCTCTGCAATAGCTTTTTGCAGGTTTTGGCTGTTTCTCAAACTAGAAAGTAACTATTTTTAGTTATTTTTGTTGTGTATTCTGACAAATCAATAAAAACCCCCTAAAAATAAATTTTAAAAATTGATGATGTCTGACTGAGAGCTCAGAACTGTCTTCCCTTTTATAATTGCTTTTCTTCTTTCTCTCTTGCTACAGAAGATACATTCAGATGATTACCAGTACACAATGTGTGATCCTTGCCACTGATGTGAATATGGTTTTGTTGGTCACTCCTAATCTCTCAGGATCCTGCTGTTTTCCCACGTGCCAATGAAGACAATGTCTGTAAGTGGATAATTAGGCTTACCCAAGTGGTTGAGTGACATTTAGTTAATGCTGCTAAAGTAATTTGTGATTGCTTAATGTGAGTGCTGTGTAAGAGCAGCAGTTTACCATCGGGACAGGGACTTGCCATTTGCCCTTTTTAATGCACACAGAATGTATAGAAATGTGCAACAAGGTCAAAGTCGACTGTGTCTTCTATAAAAGCACATGATTACAAGTAGCTCGAGTTATCTTGTTGCCTTGTAATGTATTCCTGTCTGTAGACCCCAGTCTACTCTGAGACATTTCTTCCCCTTTGAGAGGTGTAAGGAAAAGTAAGGTAGTAGAAGAATGGTAAGAGGTTATGATTTCTGAATATACTCATACCTGGAAATGCAGAATTCCAAGTTATTTCACTTCTGAAAAGAAATAAATTTCAGAAGTTTTACTGACTTCAGTTAACTACAGTCACATTGAGGACTGCTGGTGTAAACATCCTACAAAAATTCATTTCAGGAGGTAGCTCAGGTCCTTCTGTAACTGGATTTGAAATATGTATGTTGAACACACTAAGGTTTTAGCATAGCTAATAACCATTTCGCCTCAGCCTGTAACTGTACAATGTTTCTTTGCTGAAGATAGCCTTGCTAATCTGGTTAAACCCCAGTTAATAAACCTGCCTGCTTAATATCAGCATGAAGTTTGACTTTTGCAGGATATTTTACATATTGTGCCCTCAGCTGCTTATTATGTAGCACTTCTGAAAACACTGTACCTTTAAACCCAAAGGGTCTTGGCCTTGGCCTTGTATATCAGCAATGGCTGATAGCCAGATAAATATTTAATAATCAGTTTGTTGACAACTTCAAAGTCCTCCAGGATGAAAGTCATCATGTCAAGTCAGCCATCCCTACTTTATTCTATATTTAACTTGTTTAAAGATGCTGAACATCAGATTTCTGATAAAGGCATAAGGAGAAATATTTCTTATAAAATACAGCATTAATTCTAGATTGATCTTTGATTTCCAAGGAGCTGCTCAGAAACTGCACATAACTGGATTCACGGAAACAAGCAGTGACAATATATGGTACTGTTCTGGGTTATTTTAGCTCTGGCACAAGTTCTGATGCTGGCAGGGGTTTGCTCAGTAACAGAAACATTCACTGTTTATTAACTTCACTGAGTACTGGGTTGGGCCCTAAATGCACATACTCTCTCTATTCCTCATTTTTAGCTCATGAGGAGCCCATGAAATCTTATTCTCAGGTATTGTTCCTATTTGTCTTATTGATGTTGGCACAAAAAAGAAAATTCCATCTGTAGTACTTGATCAACTTCCAGTTTCACTGTTCGCAGTCTGTAACTCGTATTTAAGCTGATATTAGTGATCAGCTGTTGCATTAAGACACCTGTTTACATTTTTATTTCTGTTAGCTGAATGTTCTCAAAGTTCCTCTTTCCTTACTACACATACACACTGTTGTTATCTATATATTTTTTCATTTTATTCCCCACCACTTTTCCCCCCCTACAAGAGGGAATGTGATTGAAAGAAACATCCAAGAGTAGTTTGGAACATGTATACTTACAGGTATTGAAAGGAGATCTTAAAACTGCACTTAAAAGGTTGTCTAAAATCAAATGTTGCTGTTATCAGAACACAATTTCAGTGATTTTTGTCTTAAATCTTTGCCTGTACTACCTGTCAGGCTCAATTCTAAAAATTGTTACTTCTGCATATGGGTCTAATAAGTAAAAGAGTTAATTTCCAAGTGTAGTTACAAGGTTTAAGTGGAAAGGCAAGGGTCGATTTCCTGCTCTCCTGGCTGAGGCAGAAGTTCAGTGAAGCTGAACTCAGCACAGCCAGGCTCTGACCCCACTGTGCATGGGGTCACCTGCCAGCTGCCACGCTCCTGCCTGCAGCTCAGGGACATCAGGAAGCAGGCAGTAATTTGTAAAACCAAGTTTTGTAAATGCAGATTATTTCCCCAGCATCCCCTAGCTCATTTTTTTTGGCTTTGCTGTTTCATAGCTAAAAGAACGGGCACTCAAGCTTTAATCAGCAGGCAATCAGCAGGGTTATTAGTTCACCCTGCTTCTCTCCTGCAGGAATTATTGTAATTTCTATATATTTCAACAAGTTTGCCACCTGATGATGGTGAAAAAACCCTTGTTTTGGCATAACATTGGGCACTAGGCATGTTGAGTGCAGATGATTGCATGCTTTCTCTATGCTTCAGAGTGAAATACCCATCTGCACAGTTTTCAGAAATAGTGGTCTACTGTCATTCAGAATATCCATGGATTTGTCAGAAATTTCAACTGCAAATCAAGTTGTCATATAAACAGGCAAAATCAGAATACTTTTTTATGTGCGAATTTCCATTCTAGTTAAAATTACACTAAAAATGGTAAAAATCAATTATTGTTCAATTTTAAGGCTGCTCAGGACCATAAGTCTGTCTCGTGCTTTGTATGGTAAATGCTGTAGCATTTGTAAAATCTGTGTATGTTGCAAATTATAAAATAATATAAAACAATAGAGTCTCTTTTTAATTGTTTTGTATTCATAATTGTGCAGTAGGTTCTTTCTTTTGCTTTCTTCTGTGCTAATATTAAGTCTATTTTAAGGCAATGTTTACCAACACTAACTAAACTAAATAAAGTTGGATAGCATATGTTAATGAGTACTGTATTCCCCAGCCCTTCAGAACAGCTCAGCCTCAAATAACACTTACATTGCCTATGTAGAGATTAGGCCACTCTTCACCCACGTGATTTAATTCCACCTTGCAGCTGTCCAAAATATCTGGCAGTTCCTGGGTAGAGGGAGTGCCAGGCTCAGAGCATTCCTGGGCTGTCAGGGTCTGTCTTCAGGTGCAGACCCTTTTGAAGGCCTCATGCAGAATCAGGCAGAGGAGGGAGAGCCTGCTGGAAGCCGCTGCTGTGGAATGCACAGGGGAGGTTTTTGCTGAAGCTGGCTCTTTCTGCCGCTTGATGTTCCCAAGCAGGTGGCTGACTCTAAATACAGCTTGTGCCTTGACGCCTCCCTAGATTAGCTCAGCACTCTGTTCCTGATGCAATGGGGAACAGCCAGAAAAATGAATGCTCTGCTTTAAGTGAATCTTATGCAAAAAAATGCTACTCCCGTCCTCACATAAGCTATGTGTGCTTGTTCCTGCCAGCACAGAGCTTTCCCTGTGAAAGAAATGTCAGTCAATGCAACTGAGACGCAGTCCCAAATGCCTCATGTGACCCAGTTCTAATAATAAGCTACCAGGAAAGAGAGGACAGCACAGCTTGAGGGCGAGTTCAAAATAAACACCACAAGAGCACCTGTCCTGGGCCTTACCCAAGGTTCACCAAGCCCACTGTCCTGGGCTTGACTATGGCTGAAAGTGGACGCCTACAGAATATAAGAACACACAAGCATGAATTATACTTGTGTATATTACAATAATAATAACACTCTCCCAGCTTTCAGCTGGCTGCAGTTTATAAGCTTGCTGATCTGGATGGAGTTTCCAAGTATTTGGTAACCCTGAATGGATTTCTGTCCCTCAGACTTTTCCAGCTGGCCCTTGAATGTCTATAGGCTTTTGCTCTCTGCAGCATCCTGTGGCAAGGTGTTACACAGCTCACACAAACCCCTCCTTTTGTTTCACACCTGATTTCTACTGACCTCATCTGATGCCCTCAGTTCTTGTACTGGAAAATAAAATTAAGAGAAGTTTTCACTGGAGCTTTACATGGCTCTCTTTAGGTGACACTGTTTTTGTGATTGCTTTAAAAAGATTTAAGTCTGACAGAGCTGTGGCTGGGACAGTTCCTTTCACTTGCACCTTCTCCCATATTGTGTAGACCCTCTTGAGAAACATGCACTTTCTGAATGAACTGCCACTGGGTAGGCAGTATTTTTCCTTCATTTTGGTTCCTTAGTCTAACTCGACAAATCAACATTGAAAATACGAGTTTTTATGCAGTAGAGGAAAGCAGTGAAGTACTAATGTCACGTCACATCATGACTTGGATTATGGATAGTGTAAGTGACAGGTGAGGAGGTCCCTTTTCCTCTTAGCACACTGCAGCAGACAACGTTTTCTGTTTTAAGAAGTTACAGGCCTATTCTTCTGCTTTTGCTTATGTTGACTGGAATCTTTCTCCCTGCACAAATGTGCACTCAGAGTAAATCTGTATATAAAGAAGCAATGCAGACAGGCAGGAAATATAAGCAACACTGACTCCACAGATTAAAAACACTTCAATGATTTGACAATGCCCTTGAAAAAAGTTTCTACCTAATTCATTCCCTCCACTGAGATAAATATGTTGTGCTTACAAGATCACTACTGTGCCACTGGTGGTATGGATGCCCTACTGACTCAGCTTTACTCTGTACTCTTCCCTTCTCTGCCCCTAGTGAAACAATACTCTCCCAGGATGAGCAGTATCTCCAAGAGCAGGTACTAATTTACAACAGGAGCAGCTTTCACAGCTGTGGCTTTGTAGGACAGATGCTCAGAGGCATGCAAAACATTATCCTGATGGGGGGATTCCATTAATCTTGCTCACATGTGTCTAATTTTGCCCAGCCAAAAGCCATTAAGATGCATTATTTCACTCACATGAATTACAGATTTTTCAATGCCATGTCTTCAAAAGGTTTCCCGACTAAAACCTACTGTAATGTGAACGAAGTATAAATTATAATGAAATGTTAAGTCATAAAAATCCCTATTAATTTTAATGGAGAACTTCAAAGCAAACAAAGCTCCTTCTCCACCACTCTGCTGCTTTGTGAGGTATAATGATTGTCCTAGCACTGTTGGGTTTTAAATGTGATTTCCTATTTGATCTTTTCACACAACAATGTCTTACCTTCCTCTCATCAGTGGAGCTCTTTCACAAGTTTAAGGAAATCTCAGCAGTCAAACTGTTGTCTGAAAGGATCTTAAACATGCTTATTTTGCAAAACACTTGTGTACAGTGAAATAGGGAGGGATTTCTACATTCCCCTAAATGCTAGTCAGAATCATATGAATATGTCATAACCTCTCCACAAATGAAGAAGGAAATGTGATCTGGAAAGGCAGAGGTTCGACTCATAAGCCATCATTATATTAGGCTTCTAATAACCTTGCAAGTCTCTTCCAGCAAAGAATAAAATTACCAGAACTGATGCTTCAAATGCAAAAAAGCAAGTAGAAATGTATTTACTTAATCTGGCAGGGAATCTTTATAAGGTCAACTAATCAATAAATCCAACCAGCAGCAAAGGGCAAAACCAAATTTGATTATCACTTCATGGTTCACCACAAGGTAACAAGCTAATTTTCAGGCAGAGTGGTAGCATGAATTTCAAATGCTGTTGCTGTATTAAAAATCACATTGGTTTAGGTACTGATTAACTGGTGACAGGAAAAGTTACATCCTCAGAACAGCTTGAAACTAATTTGTATTAATTAGGCCAGGCTACTGATGCGTCTACCCGATATTAAACTGAGGGTGAGCCAAAGCCACTGACACAGAACTGATTTGGGATAATATGGAGAGCAAGAGAACAGATAAGTCCAACTTATAAAACGCTTTGAACATCTGACATATTCCTTTTAATGTCCTCAATATACTACATGATATACATTATCTTTTTGAAAACATATGTAACAAGACTCATGGAGTTTGCTGACCCAGGCTGCAGAAGCATCACAAACATTTATTCTGGTCGTGTGGGTCTTGTGGCTTTCACAGTTTTCTATAACACCATAATATTTAGCAGATCACAGAAATGTTTCTGTAGGAGTGCCTGGGCTCTCAACAAACTGCCCTTGTCACATCATCAGGCCTGAAACAGAAATTTTTTCTTAGGAGAACATGCATGTGAGAGCTGTAACCAAACTGAGAAAGAGGATTATGTTACAAGTAAAGGGGATTCAAACATCCTTTACAGCTAGATGCAAATATTGAACTCGCCTCTGGAAGGAGCAGAAACCAGGGACAAACTTGGTCTGTCTTAACCACTTCAGTGGATTCATCCAGTAGCACCACCCAAGGCACAGCAGTTCCACCCTGCACAGTGGTTACAGTGCTGCTGTTGGCTGTGCTGGTTTTGGAGGGACTGAGCTATCAGAATTAATCCATTTACCATTCTGTTGGCCTTTTTATTTCAATGCATAATCTTCTTCACTTTTGTCATGTGCACTGATCACGGGAAATTGTATATGCACAATGGCCCTGAAGGGTGAAACTCAGTAAAGTGAATGTAGATAGGGGTGGCCTGTTCAGCAGTCTTTCCTTTGCCGTAGCTGAACATCCAGGTTTCGCAGGTGCTTCAGAAAACCACGATTGGGTGAAATCCATCGATGCTCCTTCACTGTCTTGATGGCTTCAACTAATGGGAGGTGGTGATTTATCATGAGATATGCTAAGACTAGAGAAGCTGATCTGCTTACTCCAACTGCACAATGTACCAATATTTTGGCTGGTAAAAAAACAAAAATACACCCATCAAGAGAAGCAGTACAGTGGATGAAATTTAATTTAAATGTTTTTCTTACTCTTCTGATAGATCACATGAACTGCTAACAGTTAAGTCTAATTTACTATTGTTACACTCACTTGTATGAGAAATGCCATGAGACCCCAACCTGATCTCAGAAACACTGGTAAATCAAAGAAAACCCTCTGAGAGTAATAAAGCTGTTCTGTTTTGACCATGAGGAAAAGAAGACCCATTAGTTTCAGGAGGTTTGCTTATGCAAGGAAGAATGCTAAAATCTGGCCTGAATGGATGGCACAGACACATTAGCCACCAAGAAAAATGACTGGCCTAGTACTATTGCATAATAAGGCAATTTGATACAACTGTAATTCTATTTTTAAGTCAGAACTTGTGATACAGAGACATCTCCATTAATGCCAGTTTACTCATGCTAAGAAATGGTCTTTTATGTAAAACACGTTACTTCGTATTTTATTGCACCACTGCCAAGAAGCTCAGTTTCTTGTGGAACTCACTGTGAATCTCCTTGGGTAAATCTTCTTGGAGGGACAGCCTTGCAGGCCCTGTTCACACAAGAAACTCATTTGCAATATATGAACCTCTTTGTACAGTTGGTGATTGCAGAAATCAGGACATCTGTCTTTTTATTAATTTGTTCTTGCAATAAGACACTCTCAAAAGAGGGTGTCCATTTCAAACGTATGTTTTTGATTCTCCCTTTTTGAATTAGCTTTATCTTCCAAATAATTTTCTCTCTCCTCTCCTCCCCAGTCTCTCTCCTGCATGGTTCATCTGTCTTGTCACATCAGCTTTTTGGGACCTTGTCAGAGCTACATCCACATACACAGCATTCCCTTTTCCTGCCACCCACCCTGCAGGTGACCAGCACCTGGCAGGACACCATGTAGTGATTTGTCCACCACTGAGTTTTGTGGAGCTGACCTGTTACGTGTGGCTGCTGATTCGCATCAAAATGTAACCAACGATAATTTCATACCTCCTGGCGTGTTCAAGGCATTGTGGATAAACTGTGCAGCAGAGAAAAAGAACTGGCTGATATCAAAGCTTGGCAGGTCATGGGCTGGTACACCATAATAATCAATGGTTGCTCCGTAAAAGTCCTGGCCTCCGTGGCTGTATGCTGTGCCATGGGCAGCATTTAAAACATGGGTCACACCCATCTTCCATAGAATAAATCTATTGTGTGCTGTTACTCTAAGGAAAAGACAAAGACAAATCAAGATTGGTGCAGTGATGTTCACAGAGAAGAAGCACTGAGATTGCATCTCCAAACCATAGCTGGATCATCAACCCATGCATCCTTCTAAGGGCTAATCGAGAAGGGAATACCAGTTTAGTCATATTTTTATCTCGGAAATCGTGCTGTCTGCAGTGTAAATGATAGCAATTAGCAAAACTGTGAGCTGTCTAAAGCCGCACCCATGAGGCATACTAACAGAAGGTATGGCAGAGGTGTGTCCATAAAGCCTTACTTACAGGTCCCCTAAGAAGAGATTAGGCCATAC